CATATTATTCACGTCTGGGATGCATTAAATCGAAAGCATATTATATCTGGATAGAAAATACAAAAAAGGTACTTTCCTGTTAAAGGGAACATTCATTATCATCAATGATTTTTTTCTCGATATATCGATATTTGTTTTCCGATCAGATCTATTACAAATTGACAACAACAACTAACTGATCTTGTTTAGGCTAAAATAGTCTATATGGATTAAGAAATGAAACTGTTCTAAGCTAACCTAACATAACCAACCAAACTTGCTGTACCATTTAAAACTTCCGTTTGGGTTTGATAATACAAAAGGCAAGTTAAACACGGAATTTTTAAATGTTACAGCAAGTTTGGTTAGTTATGTTAGGTTATTTTTTTAGCACAGTTTAATATATTGAACAATATTTATCGTAGTTGTCAGCTGATATGTTTCAATTTGATAATATCAATATATCGAAAAAAATCATCGATAATAATGAATGTTCCCTTTAACAGGAAAGTACCCAAAAAAATAAGGTATTTAAAATGTAAATACAGATATACCTAAATACAGATATTTAGTAATAAACTATTAAGTTATTTCGCAGACTACTAAAAGAATACTTTCAGCAAAGAATTATCTTCCCTATCTACATCCACATTCACACAAATCTAAAAGTATGCACCTTTATGCACGCCTAAACTTAATTACAACATCTATAATTTAAATATATTGTTTAAAATTTTGCTTGAAACATGATTTCGCTCTTAGACTCATATTCTTTCTTATAAAATAATTAAACTTTAACATGAAATTTTTAAAATACAGTAGGAACAAAACAAATGAGAGATTCCATATAATATGCTTACTAAAATATTTCGTGTTTTAGTGTGTAAGTACTGTTTTTTTGAACAGATAATTTATTCATACTCATGCACATTTCTAAGACTACCCACATTGGACAACCTAAATTGCTTGGCAAACTTTAAGGGAATAATGGCTAGTCCATCAAAGTGGAACCCATTTCTTTTATTTTGCCATCTTACATCTCGATAACGTTATTAATTATATTATCTTCAAGCTGATGGAACTTAACCATGGACAATTTTAATCATCAACAGTTACTTTTTTATGATAAATGTTGGCTGCTTTCTTAAGTAGTTTTACAGGATTACATTCTCGTTTACGTCCTACAACTGGTTTTAGCGAATTTCCCATATAGGGAATAAGCTATTACCGTAGGTCTCATGGTAAGACCTAGACCCGGGACCGATTTAACTTTTTCGTTTTGAGGTCCCCAGAGGCCAAAAACACCATCCGTTCAAATTCATATATACAGGGTGTCCCGGAACTCTCTACCAATATTTTAGGGCATTGATCCTGGGTAAGAAACGTACCTAAATATCATATTTAAATTGTCCGGAAGTCCTTAGTTACTCACACAGCCACCATTTTGTTTTTTTTAGTTATTAATTTTTTTCTAAAGAATGGTTAAACATACGAAATGGAAACTTTGCACAAACATTTATGCCAACTAGACAAAGCTACAAAAAAATTATGAAGATTTTTCAAATTTATAAAACGAAATGGCGGTCATTTAACATTTTCTTTCTTAAATAACTGAAAAGCCATTGATTTTACAGAAGTTTTAAATGGCCGCCATTTTGTTTTATGAATTTGAAAAATCGTGACAATTTTTTGGTAGCTTTGTCTAGTTGTCATAAATGTTTGTGCAAAGTTTCAATTTCGTATGTTTAACCATTCTTTAGAAAAGAATTAATAAGTGAAAAAACAAAATGGCGGCTGTGTGAGTAACTAAGGACTTCCGGACAGTTTAAATATGATATTTAGTTATGTTTCTTACCCATGAGCAATGCCCTAAAATATTGGTAGAGAGTTCCGGGACACCCTGTATATATTTATATATGTGTCCGTTAGCGCGATAACTCGAGCAAAATTGATCCGATTTTGATGAAATTTGGTACAAACGTGTAAACCTACATTTATTCGAACGAGTTCGCGAACCAGCATAATCGGACCATGGGATCAGGGGTTTATGGGGGGTTTTAAGGGATAAAAATGGGTTTTTCTCATTTTGACCCTAAAAACTTTAAATTTCTAAATTTCTCTCTAGACCATTTTGATGAGCTTAAAAAACAAATAATTTAGTATATTGAAGTTTTTTGAATGTTCATTGACTACGGATAAAATTAAAGAAATTGTAAATTTAAAATTCCCATGTTATTCTTATGAAAAATAAATAAACTGTTCTAGTTTGCTTGTTTATGGATATATTTCAATCAAATTTGGCAATTTGGCTTATTTCATACTAAGCTATCAATATTTCAATTGAAAAGCACACCTCAACATCTTTCCCGTAGCAGCATACCTAACAGATCACTCACTAAAATTAATGTTGTTTAAATAGGAAATAAATCTGAACATTTATAGGGAATATTTTAGTAGAAATCAAGCCGGGTGAATGGAAATTCGCTTAGTATGCAGGTTTGCTGTGACGGGGGTATTATTAAATTTGTGTAGAAAAAATGTCGTCTATTTGTCGCAAACGTTCTTTTTTGTAATTTGTTTTCAATTTATAACAATTAGTAATTCAAGTCGAAGTTTTGAAAACCAAAAAACTCATCAAGACCACAATGCACTATTTGTGTTTAGTTTGTCGGTGCAGTTTTCGTCAATAGCATGTTCCTTTCGATGCACTCTACGCATTTTATGTCTTTCAATTAAATTATAATCATAACAATTAATACTTACAGTACTTTCCAATCAATATTAAACCAGTGATAAATTTGCTATCAAGATCGATTTCAAATCCTTACAAAAATATTGTGTTTATAATAAAACACTAACAGGTTACAGTTTTAACACTTATGTGTACTAATTTAATTCACTCTTAAAATTTCAATTTGATTTTGTCTCTTCAGTTTTAATAAAATTTCCTACCAAATTAGAACTTTAAACCGCGTTAGTTTTAATCTGTGGCTAATTAAGCTTAATCGGTTAAGATAAAGATATCATAATGGTTTCCACTGAAGGAGTTATACTCATAACAAGCATCGTAAAGATACTCCAACAATGGGTATGTTGTTGCTATGGCCCTGACAGATATGCCATCCTCCCACCTAATGTTGACTTAGTGAGGGGAGTGTGCTGCAGGGCGTTCCTGCTATGACGGTGAAAATATGGAAGTAGTAATTTGTGGTGGCGTTTACACACAAAACAGGATGTTACAGGAAACATAGCTTAAACTGATGCGTTAGAAAAAAAGTTGTGCTGGCTTTTAGTGTTTACCTACTACAGTTTCTTCCTTTTACTTGTTTCAACTACTGTTTTCGCTCATTAATAGTTGTCACTAATGCCAACTGCTGGCTTTTAGTGTTTACTACGGTTTCTTCCATTTACTAGTTTCAACTACTGTTTTCGACGAGTAAACAAAACATTGTGCATTTATAAACTAAGTTTATAATCTCAAAATAGTGCTAGATAAAGATAGGTATACACTACCAGTCACTGTCGACCTATTATCACTTGGTTATGACAGATGTATTTTTTCGGCCGCCATCTTGGATCCGCCACTTTAAAATGTGATAAACAATTTTAAATATGAAGGGGGTGTTGTGACCCATCATTTCGAATTACTTTTTTAAGCTAAACTCAATGCTGCAATCATTTTTTTGTTATCTAGTTTTGTTTATGAAATAGGTATTGCAATTTTTCTGTTAAAAATGTCAATATTTCAAAATCCAAATATTAAAATGAAAAACGGATCATGAACAGTTTCAGTTCAGCTAAAAAAAGTAACTCGAAATGATGGGTCACAACACCCCCTTCATATTTAAAATAATTTATCACATTTCAAAATGGCGGATCCAAGATGGCGGCTGAAAAAAAAACACATGCGTCAATAATCATGCGAAACAATGACTGGTAGTGTATACTTATATTTATCTAGCACTATTTTGAGATTATGGTCTTAGTTTGTAAATGCACAATGTTAAAATGGGCTAAAAATAAAGTTTTAAAAATCCCCCACAACTTTGGAATGCATAAAGATTTTTAAAAACTGTTTGTGGCATTGTAATCAGAGTAAAAATCTAGTTTCAAATAATGAGTCACAGCCCCACTTTTACATTAGAAAACATATTTTTCATCCAAGATGGCGGCCGGAAATGACCACCTTGTCAAAATGAGGAACTTACTACCCAACAATGTTTGGAAGTGGTCTGGGATTGATATTTGAAAAAATGTGGAAAAAAGTTGGGGGGGGGACAATTAAAACTCACCCTGTATAATTGGTTTTGAGACATGTATAATTTTATTTTACGAAAAGAACTATTTTTGTTATTAGTAAGTTAAACCTTCAATCAAAATTTTCATTATCAGCAAGATTGGTTAGGTTATGACAGTTTAATTAATTTAAATTTAACCTACAAACGACACGTTTTGACAGCTACAGTGATAGAACTAACAGTTTCCCACGAACAGTTCGGCTATGCACGGTGCGTTCTGCACGGCGCGGTGGTGGGCGGTGGCGGTCTGCCGGTAAGATCTCGTTCGCTGAAGGGTCTTCCATCACGGTGATGGAAGATTCGGCGAGAGCAGTAACAACGCGCAGTGCGTGGCGAATGCGGCATGTGCGCTGGCTTGGCAGGTCTTATTATCTTCAAGCTGATGGAACTTAACCATGGACAATTTTAATCATCAACCGTTACGTTTTTTTATGATAAATGTTGGCTGCTTTCGTAAGTAGTTTTACAGAATTAAATTCTCGTTTACGTCCTACAACTGGTTTTTATTAAATTTGTGTAGAAAAAATGCCTATTTGTCGAAAACATTCTTTTTTGTAATTTGTTTTTATAACAATTAGTAATTGAAGTCGAAGTTTTGAAAAAACAATTCATCAAGACCGCAATGCACTATTTATGTTTAGTTTGTCGGTGCAGTTTTCGTCAATAGCATGTTCCTTTGTAGTCGTATCAATAACTGCAGATTGGAGACATAGTTTCTCACTGATGATTACATTGAAGACGTCTACAGACAATAGCAGATCTGGCGAGACTCAATCCTCATCAAGCCTCTTCAATGACGTCATAGTCTCGCGATATACAGTATAAGACGAGATGCTGCGAGAACCCTCGCCACTTTGTACAGGTAAGAGGAAGTCGACTATAACTACTGTAATATATTTTAATATATTTTATAGTATTGTGTCGTTGATTATAAGTGCTGTTGTCTCAGATTAGAAGCTTTTGAGTGAGTTTTTAAAAGTAAAAATATTCTACTCACAGACATTTCTTTAAATTGTTTACAATACCTGCATATAGTGATCCTTAGTTGCTATAGTGCCAACTAGTTTACAAGGTGTCATACAGGGCGATTGGTACTCAGTGTACAACATTTTTTTGGTGTAAGTACAAAGTAAATGCAGTGTGATGATGCATATAAGAGGTTCCAAGTATAAAAATTGGCTTCCCAAAGAATTATTTTAAGTTTTTCAAAAATAACCATGTTTTTAAACTTAATACATCAATTTCTCAATTACCTGTAAAACGATGTTAGTAGGTAACGTAATTTTCGTGTTCGACATAAAATTTTGAATAAAAATAGTAGAAAACTATGTAGGATCAATAGTAAAAACTCCATTGTAAATAGATTCAAAGATAAAAATGAAGGTGTTTGAGAAAAATTAAAAAAAACATTGGTGTATTGCATTTTTCTACACCCTGTATACAAGAAAGAAGCCAAATATGTTTAAAAATGAGCCATTTTTTTATCATTCGAACCATATGCTACACTATTGAGCTTTAGGTCTGCTTAAGTACGATTTAGTGGTTTAAAAACTACAAAACATGGCGTCTTTAACATTTAAAACATAGAAAGTCGGCATGTATTAAGCAAAACTTGTATTTTGTTTCAGTTTGAACAGTAATAAAAACAGTAAAAATGTTCCCTGTTTTCTAGTACTGTATTCAAATCACTAAAACAAACAAAAGCATATCTAACCCTCAATAGTGTAGCATATGGTTGGAAAGCTTATAAAATGGCACAGTTTTAACATTGTTGGCCACCTTCTTCTATACAGGTTGTAAAAAAATTCAATCGACCAATGTTTTTTTAAATGTTTATCAAACACCTTAATTTTTATCTTTGAATCTATTTACAATGAAGCTGTTACTACTGATCCTCCGTCATTTTCTATTATTCCTATTAAAAATTTAATGTAGAACACGAAAATGACATTATTTACTCAAATCCATTTACAGGTAACTGAGAAATTGCTGTATTAAGTTTAAAAACATGGTTATTTTTGAAAAACTTAAAATAATTCTTTGGGAAGCTAATTTTAGACTTGGAACCTCTTATATACATCATTACACTTCATTTACTTTGTACTTACACCGAAAAAATGTTGTCACACTGAGTACCAATCAACCTGTATAATGGTTATTGTGTTGATGGTTCAGATTAAAACCGGAACTACTGGTACTACAGCAACCAATGATTACTATATTCAAGTATTGTAAGTATATTACAGTGATTCGGATGCTAAACAATTCATTCTTAAAAACATTTCTTCCTAGTACACAATACGTCTAGACATGTAACACTTATACAAAGTGTTTTGTACTTGGGTTCTACAACTGTTAAATACATTACATCACCAGGTGCAATCGTGTCGTATTGCCTTTAAGCGTATGTCTTCAATTCGTTTGGATAAAACACATAAAAACCTATACACGAAGAAACACAAACCACCTTACGAAATTAAAATTTAGGCTATTTAATTGTATCGACTCCAAAGGCTAACTAAACTTTGGTGGCTTACACAGCTTGATGTTTTTGAACCTGATGATTTAGTCAATTTTACTGGTTTATTTAAGTGTAAATTAAAAGATCAAATTTATCCTTAAAATAATTTATATAACGATTCGGGGGCTATACCGTTAAGAATTATTATTCTAGTTTGGGTGAACCCGAAAGAAAGGAACTTAAAACAGAATTAAAGTATATAAATCTACTCAAGGATGATTAAGTACTTCGTAATTAACTAAACAAATTTACATTGTAAGTTCTTTACTTCTAAGGTATAACATGTTAAGGTTTGGGAGCAGGTGAAAGAAGGTTACAATCCATTAATCTGCCAATACAAAGGTACTAAGTATATTTACTGGCCTATCTGTTTAGCAACGAAATTCGGATGAAGCTTTTTTCAAGTATTACACGCTTTTTGTTTAATTGAATAATATATCTTTAGTTTTGGCATTAGTTAAGTCTAAATATAAATTACCTTGAACGGGACATTCTATTTATCTTTATTCTTGGCATTAAATAATGAGTTAAGTCTAAATATAAATTACCTTGAAGGGGACATCCTATTTATCTTTATTCTTGGCATTAAATAATGAGTTAAGTCTAAATATAAATTGCCTTGAAGGGGGCATTCTATTTATATTATAAAGCTGTATCCAGTTTTCAATTAACATACCCCCGCCACAGCAAACCTTTAGACTAAGCGAATTTCACTTCTGGTCAGATTTTCAAATAAACTTTCCCTTATAATTGTGACAATTATTTCCTATTTAAACTAGCTGTTACCCACGGGCTCCACCCCGTTTTACTACATTAGTATTAATATAGCTTATTCCCTATATGGGAAATTCGCTAAAAACTATTGATTGGTTAAGTTAAGATGAAATAAACAAAACAGAATACAAACAAATAATAACAGCTGGGGTATTTTTAACATTAGGTAAATGGAAAGTTCCCTTTGGAAAGCAATTACGACCTTAGAGGACAATTTATGAAATAATGGATAATTTTGCCCAAGGTTTCCCGTCATGACGAACATTTTAAGTATATGGTTAATGGGGGTGTGACTGGTGGTTTTCTCAAAAGTTCATGGGTACTTTTGGCTTTATATATAGATAACAATTTTTTTTTAATTTTCTTCGTAACCATTAGGTACACAACAACGCTTTAGTAGATTAAATTATTTGTTTTTAAGCTCTAGAAGATAATGTAAAAAAAATATATTTTTGGGGGTCAAAAATGGGAAAACTCCCTCTAAGGGAAGTACGATATACATCAGAATGTTCTCTTTGAGTATACGATTGGCAGCAGCTGGCCCATACTGCGGTATCCAACAGCAATGGCATTACTTTATTTACCCCTCTCCCTACCAATCAACTATTCCGACAACTAAATTCCGCCACTCTTATCACTTATAGTACTCATTACCATCTGTAAAACTCCTTTCTCTTCTACACAATGCAAAACAGTCTATACACAGGCCCTGCCTATACTGTATATAGGCCATAAGCTATTACAGGTCGCATGGTAAGACCTGGTCCCGGGGCCGATTAACTTTATCGTTTTGAGGTCCTCAGAGGCCAAAAACACAATCTGGATAAATTCATTTATAGGAACATATTTTGATCAAATTTGGAAAATGCTTTTATTTCACCCTAAATTATTCATTGTTGCAGCTAACCTAAGTACTCGTTAAAGCAATGGTATTTAAATAGGGAATACATCTGAATTTTTTCAGAGGGTATTTTAGTGAAAATATAAACTAGACGTATATGGGAATTTGCTTAGTCTGCAGGTATGCTGCGGAGAGAGGATTTTATCCTCTATTTTATTTATTAATTTAATGTTCCTTAACGTCGTTCTTGTCTCTTCGCCAGGACACTATGACTATCTTCCTACCTGTAGCGGCTCTGCTTGTAACCCTAGGCTGTGTGTTCGGTGCTGGGGATGTACCAAAATGTGATAAGGCCATAACATCCAAGATGATAAAAGCAACTGACATCATACCTACGGTATGTGCATACGGTCTTTGACTATAGAGAGTACCATTCCCATGTTTAATTTGTCCTCTGCTGATCCATAATAATTATAAATTAATAGAGAGTGTGAATCTAAGACAAGAAACATTAAGGCAGGTTCCAGATTGTACAATAGAACGAGAACCCAGTAGTATCCAAAATGAATGGTAAGATACAGCTTTTCAGATGTATATCAAATTTCAGTTGATACATGAGATGTCATCCTTATGAATCGACTGAAGATTGCTTCAATGTTGATTTCTCTGTAATTTACGGATCAAGATTTGTTTTCTTATACAAAAATAATATCATCAAGTTTAAATTGATCAAATACCAACAAAAAGGCTTTTTGTACACAAAAAAATTATTTTAATGTTTTAAAACCAGCCGTTGTTTAATGGAACCTAGATAGAACTTGAATGTAATAGACCTTGTCGTTACATGTAATAATAATCGATAAAGTTTCTAATTTGACTTCTCTTCTCTCAATCCTTAAACCTCATTGGTCCTAAATTGTACTGTAAAATAACAAAATAATGCTGTTAAGTAATTAAACAATACCATTAAGTGAATCTTTTCAATTGTAAGAACTGAATTGAAAAAGCTAATTTAAAATCGGTCGTAGATAAAACAATTTAGAATTGGGTAAAAAATAAACAATGGGACTATGGAAGAACATAGGAATAGTTCACAGCTTAAAACAAATCTTTCTCTTGAAATAAAAAAGTATACATTTCATCACTAGAGTGCAAAGTGACTCTTTTGTAAATGAGCTCGAGTTTAAACCCCCAAGGCGAAAACGAGGTCGGGAAACTAGCGAGGGTTGAAAAGATACTTTTAGATCGTGTGACGAGCCATATGTTCCGTGACACTGTGCAATTCTTCGAGCTTTAAAGTTTACAAAAATTGATAAATAAAAAACTTTATTTAAACAAATCGTTTTTAAACGCACTAAAAAGTATAAAATAATTTATAAATATGTGGAGAGTATAAATTCTTGAAAGATTTAAAACGAAAAACGTGGGGTGCATGCAATAGATAGTTTACAATTCCCTTCACCTATTGAACTTAAGCATTATTATCAATCGCATGCACCCCACGTTTTTCGTTTTTAATCTTACAAGTATTTATACTTTCCACATATTTATAAGTTATTTTCTACTTTTTAGTGCGTTTAAAAACGTTTTGTTTAAAAAAAGTTTTTTTATTTATAAATTATTTTCTACTATTTAGTTTTTAATGTGTGTAGATGTTAAATCTATTTCAAGCATCTAAATCAGATTAAGACAGAGACATGTGGTACATCTAAGGTTTATTTGAGTTTCTTTTCGCATATTTATGTACTACATACATTGAACGTATGGCTTACATACTAACTATAAATATATCAATCTATTTAATTTATTAAATACTTTATAGAATACTAAATAAATAACCATTGACATTATTAAAAAACACCTTTATATCTACAATCAGATTGTTTATCTTTATTTTGAAATGTTTGTATAACGAATCTCTTGGGAGCATAACCTGTACCTCTTAATATCTGCTCTTCAAACTGTCAAATTTAAGTATTTACAGCTGACTTAAATTAATTGATATATTTACATTCTTTAAAAATGTAAACATGAAAAATTCGGAAGCCCATGAGGCGTAGCCCAAGGGAAATATGAAAATTAAATGATATAATATTGCATTGTCTTCCATTTGTGAGCTAGGTTTCAAGTCTCTAGCTCATCGGGAAGTTAGTTAGGCCGGGGCCACACGTGGCGGATCGTCCGCGCGGCTTATGATCGTACGATCATAAGCCGCGCGACGAGGTCCCGGCCACACGGAGCGGACGAACCGCTTCCGGTTGAGGTTTCCCAGCCTACGTACTGAGATTCTAACATGGTTTAATTCACTCGTTCTCGTTGTAGTCATGGAAGAAACACGTATGTTAGTTTGTGCATTAGAAACGTGTGGTGAGCTAGAGCCTAAGGCAAACCGAAATCATTGGGTCCATCATTTCATAACCGATAAACCATTTGTGTTCCAAACCTTTTACGAGCACATGCGAAACCATAGTTCGGAGTTTTTTTGTTACTATCGCATGTAGATAGCATCGTTTGACGAGCTACTTCAATTGCTTTGACCGCATATAACTAAGGAAGATATACTGATGAGAAATGTACAACATGAGAAATCCCACATTATCTTTAACAAGTTCTATTGATTTGTCTGTATCGAACATTTTACACCTAGAAACCGAAATGCACAAGCATAAACTAGAAAAAAAAACACTACAAATGCTTGAAAATGAGCTCCAACCGCGCGGACAATCCGTATCGTGTGGCCACTCTCATAAGACTACGTGTGTCATCCCCTCCAACGCGGCTTATGATCGCGCGGACAATCCGCGACATGGCGCGGACAATCCGCCCAGGCGGCTTAGGATCGCCCCGTGTGGCCACTCTCATTTGATTCAATGTTTTGTCGGACCACGCGGATCATCCGCGTGGTCCGTCCGCGCGGATGATCCGCGTCGTGTGGCCCCGGCCTAAAATTGATTGCAAAATTTGTACCCGACAAGAAAGCGAGCTAAAATAAACGGTTTAAAATGAAAATAATGTACGTTATTTATCTTTGTAAGTTAGCTACCAGATTTACTCCCACTTGGTTTTACTCTGTTAAAAAAACAATAAGCTGTAACTGTTGTATTAAATTAAACTAGCTAGCATGTGTTTCGGTAGTTTAAAGAGTGTTAAATGTATCAAATATTACTCCGCTTAACTTTAGTTCAAATTTCTAAATATTTTAAAATTTTAGTTAGTCTAAAAATTTGTATTCCTTTCAGTCATGTATCGTAACACAATAATAAACATAAGAAATGTTTTACATTTTCAAATCAGAAATATTTTTTTCCTACAATTACCTAACAATGTACATGTTCTCTCACTGATTTGAGAAAGCAAAGTGGCCAATTCGCTCATCAGTAAGACAATGTTAACATTGTCTCACTCTAATTACTTTGTCTCACTCCAGATTTGCAACGTGAAGGTACGAAATAGTGAGCGCGTAACATGCAGGCAAAGTCGTATGCGCGCGAAATACGTTGGCAGCAGTGGCTGTAAATCAGCTGGTCAGCTGTTGTACTGTTGTATTTGTCACTTCGAACATTAAATGTTATATTAAAAGTTCACTTCTGTGTAAAAATAGGTTATGTTTCTTCACAAATTTATTTGTTTTATGGTAACTGTAGGAAAAGTATAATGTGCAACTCGAGTTCAAAGTACAATTGCCTCAATCGAGAAACCATTCCTCACTCGCCTACGGCTCGTGAGTAAGGATTTCTCTCGAGTGAGTCAATTGCTCACTTTTCTCACTAGTTGCACAAATAACTATTTCTAGTTGGTTGGCAGAAGGTACAAAATGCAGCTGATGTTCATAAATCCAATTAATTTGATATACTCCATGGATAAATCGAACTACTTCGCAGTGCACGTATTAAAAGCTGTTGTATGAAGAAGCAAAAAATTCATACACAAAATTTAAACTATGTTGCTTTTTCAATACACTTAAACTAGCTTAACCCATTTCCTTAGACAAATATATAAAATAAAATTTTAATATTTATAAAAACTAAGTTAATGCGAACATTTTTTCATTTACAAATGTTTTTCTGCCTTCAGATCCAGAAAAACGGACAGTACTCTTACGTGGTTGTCTCTTCGGACGAAGCCAAGGTCCTCGGCATAAAAGTCAAGTGTATTGGAATCAAAATGGCTAACCCATCAACTGTACAAGTCAATTACAAACTTTCCAGGTTTAGAAAAACATTACTTTATTGTAGCAATAATGGTACCCAAAAAGATTATGTTGCAAAGAGGAAGATTTGGCATTTCATTGTTAGTAGGGTGGAGGGGTTTGGAAACAGTAGCTATTTTGCTGACATACAGGATGTGGTTCAAGTAGGAATTTATCTTGGATTCAAGTGGTAAAATTTGGTGGTCACAAGGTTTCGTGGACACAGTCCTGTCAATAGAAGTCGTATTCATATTTTTGACGTGGTTTAACACTTAATGAAATGGAACCTTTAAACTATTAGAATTTTACATATATTTTTCTCAATCCTTAAACCTCATTGGTGTTAAACCCGAAAATTTTAAACAATGAGCATTCGCAAATTTTCAAAAATAATTTTTTTTGGAATTTTTATCATTTTAAATAACCGTTGCTTGTAGCATATCAAAGTAAAGCTAATTTCATAACGAGTAAGAAAATCTAACCGGAGAAGCGATAAATGCATTGGTATAGGAAACACAAAGTATTAAAAAATTTAGATTTTTTTTTTTTTTTTTTTTTTTTTTTTATAAACTGCCGCCATTTTGAAACGGAAAAAGATATTTAATTTCTGTTTTCGCCAAAATGTTTGTCTATCAAATACCTTTAAAACGATGTATAACATGACATATGTTTACATTTGAAAATTCCGAAATTCGAACTAGTGACTCTCAGTTTTAGGCACACCCTGTATTGGGAAAAGTTAAAAATATTTTTACGTTATTCCTTGGGGTCGATTTTGCGGAAAATAATTTTATTTCATCCTTGTACATTAAGCCGTTTTCCGTAATCAATTTGAGACACCTCTCGTGAAACACCCTGTATACACTACTTCTAAAGCTTCATGAGCTGTACAAAATTAGTCATAAAATATTAATAGACAAATCGTACATGTTCTATATAACCCACTACATTTGACTCAAATCCTCTATTTTCAAATTTCTAAACCGTCTCTGATTATGTATGTGAGCAGAAAGATTGTTTCAATACGTATGTATAGTGTAACATTGATTTTGGCTACCTAAATCCTACAGCAATTAATTACTTGTTGGCATTCATTCCAACCCAGCTCAGTTAATTCCTAGATGTGTGCAACCATTTAAATCCAACAGTAAAGTGCAACCCTGTGTTTTTATCAAACTTTATATATGTATACTTGTATGTAGTTTTAAAATGATTTTCTTAAATTTATATTCAGCATAATTTATCTTAATTTAGACAGAAATTTCATCGGTTTGATTTTATATCCTCAGTGCATCAAAAGCCTCAGTAGCATTGTCAAATGATTATAACCCTACACAAGTATTTGTTTGCATGTATTTCTGTGTTTACAGTTTGCTACCATCGCAATTCACATTCCCTGTTAGAGAAGAAGAAGGAGTTCTCATACAAAGTAGGTACCAACTAAAGTAAAAACACAGTACAGTATAAGGGAGTTATTCTCTGAGGGCATGTGACTATTAGTTACTGTTTTCTCTATGTAGTTGTATAACCACCGGCTCATCCCATGGCTAAATACCATCGGCTAAGACCCTTATTTGGATAGTTGTCAGATTTGAACTCGGCACTCTAGAACAGAAGTTCCTCACCATAAACACAAGACTAACCACGCCATAACAGACACAGCAAATGAAATAGAATTTTTGAACTCAACGTTAACACATTTACAACATGAATCTATTCGAAAGAAGAAATATTCTAAAAATATATTTATTTGTATTATCATAATTATAAAAAGTGATTCATTGGATGATAAATATTTAGCAATAATTTAATATATAATTACCAATGAAAATATAATTTAAAATAAGGTTTAGTACGCTATTTTCCTTACATGTGAAATAATTATGAATTATTACTTTGAACCAGAAATGTGTTACAACATTTTATTTGTTAAATGATACAAAATCATATTTTGATTTTAAAACGTGGCAAGGGGAATATTATAAGATACGTACGTTATCAATGCCATTAGCAAAACAAATTAAAAACATATTTTACTAAAGTCTAAAACATAACCTAACAGTCACCAAACTATCATTTTGAGTAACCGTAATCAAATGATGTATGTTACAAAGCTTTCGTAGGCAGGTAGATTTTGTTATATTGTTCCTTGTCTATCTTATAATATATTATCAAATCTCACAAAATACGTATACGTTAATTACAGAGGACAGCAAGGAGTACAAACTGTACGTAATGTACATGGGTGACGGAGTCATCTTCACCTACCGTTGCTGTGATACTTGTGAGTATAACATTTAATTAGAACGGTGTTAAAGGATGTTTTAACATCGTTAAGCCTTTACCGTAAGAAAAATGTGTCACTGATTTAAACAAAGTCATCGTGCATTTTTAGTCCCACCCTTTAGAACGTAGACCGTATGGAACGAATGAGGCTGCTTTCCTTTGCTAGTGTTGGTATTCTGAAAGCATCCCGTAAGCTATCAAATTTGAAATAATACAAAATTCAAACAAAAATTCTTTTAGTGATGACCGTGTTTTACCCAGTAAAATATGTTTTACAAACTAAGGGGTGATATACGTGTAGACTTGGGAAACAAAGTTTCAATTTCCAACTTTCTTGAAAATCATGTTTAAAAGTAAGGTTTATAACAAAAAAAGACCTGCACAAAACTGGTACCGATTGAATGCTTTTACTATGATAAGAGAGGAGACGGACGTCTTCGTGGAAACGTTCGATTGAACCCTTGAGTTAAGGGTATGAAAAGTTAGGGCTGTTAAACTAACCCCTTTTTCACCCGGGTGGACGTGGTCAATCTAATGTTAGTTTAGAGAAGGTATCAAGTTAAGTTCTGTTTGGTAAGTGGTCCTTCGAGCCGGATTTGAATCATATCAATCAATTCAATCAATCAATTATCAATCATTAAGATGGGGACGCCACTTAGGTGCGTATTTTAACCCAAATATGAGTGAAGGATGAGTGTAGAATGGTGTGAGATGATCTGTGTAGCTTTGTTACTGACTAAGATCAGCTGTTTCATTAGCCAGGATCATTTATTGCCAACGCACCATATAAGCCATAGGTTGTTATTAAAATGTTATTAAGTAAAGTAAAATAAATGTATTGACCACATATCTATCTTTTTTTATGTCAAATCTTCAAGTCACTGGAACCTCAATCAATACCTTTCACTCATGATAAGTCAAGTTTGTATTTTGGTCATTGGTCCAAACAATGAGTTTTGATGTTAACTCAATTATTTATTATTACTTCAATATATGTTAAATTGGTCCAACAAAAACAGGCTGTCCATAAGCTACTTCTTGGCATCAAGTTTGGCATCCAAAGATGGAATAAGTCATGAAACTTGACCTAAATTAGCAGAGGAAAAATTGTCAACATCAGTGGACTCATACTTCTCCAACACAAATCATATCAAATCAGGCTTATATTTTTAGTAAGAGAAGAAAGATACTCGTACTATTTAATGTAATAATAAAAAGTGTAATGGAATGTTTGATATATTCTAGGAAATACTTTATTTTAATACTCAGTTAATGAATCGTATAGGGTAGTTAACAAATTTACTAATCTGTGTTTTTACAGGTACATCCACGAAACCCAATGTTGGAATAGCAGTAGCCAACAAATTGCAGTACACACCTGCCACGAAATCGGCGCTGAAGACTGCCAAAGAAAAGATGAACGAACTAAACTTGGGATCGGACGTTACTACTTTGCCTTACTGTTAATGAACTTCCTTTCTGTATACAAACACTTCTGACATAAGCGATTGAAAATATATTGATTTTTGTTACCTGTCTATCTCATTGAAACTAAACTTATCCCTTGCGGATTTAACTGTATGCTTCAAAATGTGATTACAAATTAGCGTGTGGCTTTTAAGTAAGGGATGCCTCTTGCACAGAGAAATTTCTTCTAACTTAAAATGCCTATCCCTTAAACACTTGATAGGTGTGTTGATGGATGTATAGTTTTGGTCATCTGGCCACAGTATTTTATCACTAATGTGAGTTGGTATTTTAACACACAGAAGTTTTGCTTTTCAATCAATGAACTAGTGGCACGCTAGTAAAATATTGGTTTTTTCTACAGTCACCCGACAAAGTTGGCTTCCTTGAACTGTTTATAGTACAGGAAGCTGCTAATTGCTGCATTTACTTTGTCGTACGGTTTATCTTTGGCACACATCAGGATTCCATCCAAACAACACAAAACAGCGTGCTTTTATTATGCACGTAATCCTTGTACGCTTGGAAATAGGTTGGCAACACTTAAAGATAATAATACTATGATCAGCTGATTGACTATTATAACTACGATTTAACCTGCCATTTTGTGTAGGCCTATAGCTTATGGTCTATTTTCGTCCAGTGCTTGGTTTGAACACAACCTCAACCTATAACATAAGTTAGAACCTGTAACTATTTGAAGAATAATTTTAAGTCGAAAGTGGGACTAACGTGTTAATGAATGAACTCAGTGAAAGTGATAGCGAGTATATTAAGTACACACCATAAGAAATTAATTGCAGAAACTGCTAAACATGTATCTTTAAACCTGTTACCAGACAAATCGAAACAAAAGTATGAACGAGTTTATGAACTGTTTTCTTCATGGCGCGTGAGTAAAAAAGTAATGTTGGTGATATTCCTAGTTCAGATTTGTATTTGTCAACATATTAAAGAATTTCATTTCAGTTTTCATTAATTATTGTTAATTTGCTTGTTGGTTTGAGAGTCTTAAAACTGCTTGATAAAAATTGCCTGTTTACATACTTGTTTATTCTGTTCATACTGATTATTCCCGTTTATACGACGTGTACTGAACACTTAATGATACTACGACTACAATCAGCTGGTGCAGTGTTTCCCAATCCGTTCTAAAAACGTGTATATTGTTTGAAAGGCTAATTATTTATATGCTTAATAGTGACTGTAGGAAAAATATAATGTGCAACACGAGCGCAAATGACCTTTGCTGCACACGAGAGAAATGTTTCACTAGTTACACAAATGACTATTGAGTCTCAATTCAACCAATGAATTCTAAATATAGGCATTTTATGGGAATTGGGTGAAAACGAACCTTCTTAGACAATGTTTACAGATATTATGCATTTACTTAATTTACTTTGAATTCACAAAGTGAGAAAGGCAGTAGGTCTACATTTTTTGTTTGATTAAGGGTCAATACAAAACAGTATTAAAATAACTAGCCTAAATATCTAAGACGAAAATTACCAAAAAAGGTGGCCAAAGAAGGTGATTGTGAGAAGGGGATACAAGTGCTGGGTAACTAAATATTAGACATTTTCCCACTTACCCACCACCACAGAAAGCATAGTCTGATACAGGTATTCTTGTGTAGAGTATTTACCTGATTTAATTCTGAATCCTATGGATTTGCACTGGATGAGTTGTTCTCTGACAGTTTGCTCAGAAGTTGCAAGGGAGTTGAAAGTTTGGAGTTTAATTCTTGTTACTTGTCTAGAAGGAAAAACACTAGAGAGGATTATGTTTAATCAATTAGTATTAGAGCTGTTATTGTAGGGACTAGCCATTAGTTATATTTTTCTATAGATATATTATATATTCTTATTGCCAAGTTCAATTTTACTTGTCTTTAGGAACACAATAAATAAGTAATTATTTCTTAAGAAAGAACTTTGCTTTTGGTTTCACCCATTTACTATTGATGGCTGTATTTTAATTACACTACTTATTCGATACAATATAAGATTTAAAAATATTTTCTTAAAATAGAGAGAGTTGTTTAAATTATTTTTACCATTATCTTGTACGGTTAAACCTCATAACCAACATTTACTGTAAAAATTTTGTTTATTTCTCGACCATTTTTCAGAGATGTATTTTTAAATTTTTTATTGCTTGTGAAAAAAAGTATTTAAGCATTTACAAAACATGAGGACCATCCTAATCAAAATAAAAATAACATTTGCACTCCAACCAGCTGGTGCATGATTCTGAAAATTGTTTTTATGTTAGGCACATAACAATGAAAGGCTTTATAACAATGAAGTAATAAAAGGTACCTTCTATAAATTTTTGCATCATAAAATTGGACTATAAATAATTAAACAGACTTACCTTGGTTTTATTGCTGTTTTGTTTAATCAGAAACACTGAGTTACTTAAAAAAATCTAGTCAGAAAGTATTAAAAAACTTGAAACATTGTGTTAATTTAATTTAACATAATTTTCATTTTGGAAATATATAAATCAAAATAGTATAGAAGTTTTAACATTTTTTTTATTGGTAAAACATTTCTCATCGGATCTCAGCTAAATCACTATTGGATACTGAAGTTTAAATCCATAGCTGTCCATTCAAAATAAAATCTGTCATTTAAAAGTATAGACTAAAGTATTTTTATTTTATTTTATGTAAAGAAAAAACTAATAAAACATATGGTTTTCAATATTCTAGAAAATAAATTATTGCTGTATAAAACGATATTGAAACCAATATGGACATACGGAGTGCAACTTTGGGGCTCGGCGAGTACTTCAAATATTGAAATTATACAAAGATACCAATCGAAAATGCTGAGAAAGATACCTAATGCACCTTGGTATGTCACCAATAGAACGCTACATGAAGACTTTAAGATCCCTACAGTTAAGGACGAAATCGCTAACTTGAGTGAAAGATATATTTCAAAATTAGAATGTCATCAAAATTATTTAGCATTGAACTTACTAAACAACACGGATACAGTTTACAGACTTAAGAGGCCCTCAATTCTGGACCTGCCCTTCAGATTTTATCGTATAAGTGTTTTATTGAATAATTTGTTGTTGACAGTGCTTAACAGCTATTTTTAATGCTCAAAAGTTATTTTGTTGTATTGCATGGCATTTACTTACTGTCCAACATATTTTTTAGAACAGATTGTAAAGTAAACTAATAATAAAAAATGGTATTGATAACTAACTGTATAACTAATTTCAAACTTAATATTTTTGATTCGATATAATATAAGACATCTTCAGAACCTACAGTATAGTAGTTTTCAACATTTATTAATTGGAGTGCTGATGAAATGCAGTATTAACTTTATTCTTTCATGTAATTTAGAAACATGTTCATGTTTGTAAGTTTAGTGATTTTTAGAGTTTGGAACTATGAAGTCATGAAACAACCAATTATGTTCAATTATACCTAAAACTGATCAGAAGGTAATTGATTTTCCTTATGAATCAATTTGACGTTTTGTACATTTGTAAAATTACATTTCAACTTAATTTAGGATTTCCTATTTCAACCAGAAAAAAATTTAAAACCAAAATTATGGCTAATCAATATACTATCATGGAATGGAACAAGTTTATCAAATAAAAGCTAAGCTAGAAATTCGATTAAGATACTTTTAACCATATCCAGAATAATCTACACGTTCTCATAATTAATTCATGCAAAGCTAAGGATATGCTAAAACAGAGTCGGTAGTCAACTCTGCCTCCGGGCCCAAGGCAGTGATGTCATGGGTTCGAGTCGTCTACTTTTTATCAGTACAGTTCACTCATGTACTTTACCGGCTCACCCCATCCTTTGCTGGACACGTTCCACACATAGAACGATATCCTATGTGGGAGGCAAATACAAGGTTAAAAGAAGCCGCCAACCTCTTAAAAATATATACTGTATAGTATATTAATGCTATAATTTACAATGTCAAAGCAGTAAAAGGATTCGAATCTTCCACTGTAGGGTATGCTTCAATATATTGCTAACACAAACACTTGGTTCAACAAAATTTTATAAGTTATTTAACTTTATACTTGATTAAATTTAAATTTCCAAGAAAATTATAGGTGGTCGTGTATTTATAGTGTTACCTAAAACATAATCTAAAACAGCATTGGAATCAAGTTAGCCAATCAATTTATTCATTCACAACTTAGACCTAAGTGTGTAAACGCAAATACTTTTTGACTTATACTTTTTGACTCCGTTAATACCGCAATTCAGTAATTAATCTTTGTTAATTACTAATGTAAACCCTTCTGTTACAGGTAACAATCCTTTTGACTAAATCCGTAAGTAAAACATATTTAAACATTTACCAGCCCTGTTGGCAATAGGTTTAGAATATAATTTTATTAAGTGAAGTATTACACTTATCATTACATTAATGATTATTACACAAGTACAACGTGGTGGTAGTGTACGTATTATGTGTTAGAGCTAAGAATACCAACTTGGTATAGTCAAGGTATGCAACTAGGTTTAGCCAAAGTATAAACTTTGGTATAGCCAAGGTATACAACTTGGTATAGCCAAAGTATATAACTTGGTGTAGCCAAAGTATACCATATGGTATCAGCCAAGGTATGCAACTTAAGGCATAATCATAAAATACTTTCTTTTTTTTGTTTAAACAGTGACAGCACGAGATGCGGACCAAATTGGACCTTTTTATCACAAAGGCAGTAAATAAGAGCTCAACAACTAACTGATAATTTCGTCGAAAAATAAAAATGATACCTAATTCTAAAAACAAAAGTACTATCGAGCAGGATGGAAAAAATATTCAACATTTATCTATATTTACATTGGTCTTAATCCACAGATTGCAACACGACAAATATGTGTTCAAAATACCAACCTGGAAATAGTAGGCGAGCCGATATTGCTTGCATTTGCAATTAATAATAAGGCAACCAATCTTTGAGAAGTTTGAGAGAGAGTACCATGTCACGTTTAAGGTCTCTTCTTACGTTCTATGTACTCCAATAATTATTTTTCGCCCAGATTGAATCGGGAAAAAACTTCAAAATGGAAGTACTATTGTACAGGGTGGTTCAAAAATAACTGACACATTTAACATGAATTTTTATTTGTAAAATTTTAACTTGGCCTACATATTAAAATTTGCATATGTACAGATAAAAAACTCAAAAAGTTTTTGGTAATATGACCACAAAAAAAACTCGAACCAATATTGTTAAATCTCAATATGGCAAATTTGTAGTGAATTATGTACATCAGTTTAAGCTATGAATAAAGTTGACTTGATTTACGATGTACCATTAGCTATGTTTGACTCCTTAATTTGATTTTACCTATGTGTTTGTTGCAAGTGTGGAGTTCATGTTTTGTAGCATGTTCAATGCGTCTGATATATTATTTGAAAGATAGTAACCCTTGAAACACCCTATATTTTAAACTTAAAAAATGCGTATTATAACAATTTTTTCTAGTGAATTTGGAAACATTTTCTATTCCTAATTTTAACGATTTACATGCATCAATATGTATGTATCAATTATCTCGAACATAAATTAGATGAACAATCTAAAATCATAAAGTAAAATAAATTCTATCTCTATTTTCATAAAGGAAAAGCTTTAAGTTATTTTTAAAGGGAGTTAGATAGTTCATTTGTTACTCGATGTATTTGATTTGTTAAACAGTATGCGGGGATTTACATCCTCATAACTGATGGAAAATAAATGATATCTCTATTTTCATAAAGGAAAAGCTTTAAGTTATTTTTAAAGGCAGTTAGATAGTTCATTTGTTACTCGATGTATTTGAACTGTTAAACGGTATGCGGGAATTTACATCCTCATGACTGATGGAAAATAAATTCTATCTCTATTTTCATAAAGGAAAAGCTTTAAGTTATTTTTAAAGGCAGTTAGATAGTTTATTTGATACTCGATGTATTTGAACTGTTCAACAGTATGCGGGGATTTACATCCCCATAACTGATGGAAAATAAATTATCTCTCTATTTTCATAAAGGATTTTTAAAGGCAGTTAGATAGTTCATTTGTTACTCGATGTATTTGAACCGTTAAACAGTATGCTAGGATTTACATCCTCATAACTGATAGTATTTTAAATTCTTTTAGCAAATTTACGACTTTGACTTATGATTTTTAGCTTAATGTAGGAATATAGAGGCCAATGTATTTATTATGTATTTTATGTTTTTTTTAGAGGCCAAGGTTTTAATATGCAACCCTTAAAGTGTGTGTTTTAATGTTGATAAGATAGAAGATACGATAGGTAGGTGTTTGAAGCTACTTGCTATCTTTTTAAATTACTGTGTCGAGAAGTTACCTGTTTAGTAATTGTTTTAGGTGTATTTTCTGTTCTAGATATTTTAATTGTTATGCGTTGTAAACTCTTCAACCGTACTGCAGTATCTAGATTTTAAATAGTTCGCTAGTCTTTAAAATGTTCTCAACTGACAAATTGGTCAGAATTCACAAAATATTATTAATTTGTTTCTAGTGTGTCTGGATGAAAAAATAAGAACAAATTAGCGTCCAAGTTTAGGTTAACATGGTCATAAAAAGTGTCATAAATTTATAGCCAAAATGACAAATGTAATTTGAGACCAGAAAAATGGGATCGAACCTGCGAACTTCAGATTTGAAAGCAAGCACAATTTAAACCAACTTTACCCATACTACTCGTTAACCCGTGTCTGTAGTCAATCAATGTAGAGTTAATTCAATGTATTGACAAAATAGACAAACGAAATGCCACCTGGATATTATAAATATTTAAGGTTTCAAATTCCATCTCATAGGGACGAGAACCAAAGGTATATCACAATTGCATTGTTTCTATTGTTTGGTTTTGATCTTTGTGTGACAATCTGTTCCATTCCCTCAGAAGTGTATTGTGTTCTATGTATTAGTTTCTACGTTTGTCGTTGTCTCTGTTGGTCCCAGATTCTACTTTATTTTCCAATTGTTCGTTTCTCACTCATCATTGTCTACTTGCAGTATCAAAGTCAATGCTAAATATAGTTCACATAAATGAGATGTTTCCCTACAGTGCCGTTATCCAAAGTCAATGATACATCTGGTTCATACAAATGGCATGACTACAGTACTTGTAGTACATAAAGTAATTGCCTTACTTGTTTCTCGTAAATAAGATGTCTACTTGCAGTAAAGAAAAAAATGTATGAATCTAACTTTAAATATTTCAAGCAAAATTTCAAAAATTTAGGTGGTTGGATTGTTTATTGGTTCTAGAGGAACATTATCAAAATTGTTTGTGAACTTTGGGAAACAATATGATTTGGACAGATCCTTTTAGAAAATTATTATCCATGAAACATTAAGAGGTTCATTGACTATAATGAGAAATCATTTATATGGCTAACATCAAAATTAATCAGTCCTAGCTGTTACAATCCTTCAATATTTTAAGTGTAAATTTTTTTCTGTGTCATTGGCAACCTTATTTTTTTAAGGCAGACGTATTTATTTAAATAAATGGCTTAAGCCTATTTGGTTCACTTAAATGGAATGGATATTTTCAGTATCCAAAGTTAATGGAAAATTGGGTTCACGTTTTAAATTACTGAAATAGCAAGAAAAAAATGGCAAACAAAACACGACATCTACAGTGCACCGGACAGAACTAACGATCAAATTGGCTTCAGCTTTTTCATAAGGATGGGAAATCTACTAAGGGAGTAGGCCTTATCTATGATTATGCTTAACGGTATTAATACGATTGTACTTCCCTTTTGTTCTGTATTTTTAATGGGCTAGTTTAGATGATTGGTTGATAAACATGTGTTTATACTCTAATGTTTACCTTTTTATTGTTATCTTGGAAACAATGTCATAGCGACCAATAAACCAATACAATTTCTATAGTTTAAATTAACCAAGATATAATCCCTGTCGTCCGATTTGTACCATTTCAGATTTATACCTTTCCATAGATGATTGCTAATTGACTGTGCTTAATTCCGTGGATCGCTTCAGCCGTTCAGGAATATTTTGTAAAACAAAAACATGAGTGTAGTATAAGAGCTTCGCTCGCTCCGCTCAATAATATCAATATAAAATCACTCCAAGTAGCTGGAGGTTTTTCCCTGCATACAGATTAAATTTAAGCTCAAATATCAACTGATTTATGACAATTAAATGTGAGTTTTATGGAATGGTATAATTATTCGGAAGTTGTTGTAAGTACTTGCATGAGGGGCACATCAAGGGTCCCGTACGTCAACCGAAGCATTGGATTTGATGGTCTTTGTTAGTGAATTGTCAAAAATTGGATCTTTGAACAGTAGATATAAATTTATAGCTACTAACTAAACCAAAAAATTTAACAAAAGTTCATACTTTGTTTGCAATATATTTATTTTATACCTTACACGTAAAAGCTTACATGCACTAATTAAATCTATATTGTTTTCACCGAATCATTAAAGAATGTAAAACAGGGAAAGGAATACACAGTTTAAAAGGACTTGTAAAGGATAAAAATAGTAGTAATAATTTTAAACTAAAGCTATTTTTACTTATAAATGGTTTATTTTACTAGATCTAAGTAAAACAGACCAAGCCGTTTGGATGACCCAACATCCGTAATCTTTATCAACAAAACGGTCCCATAAAATCTCGGTCTTTTCTGCCAAGCATAAATGTCAAGTTTATCCATCCATCGACATTACAAAACCCTTTGACAAACTCGCATTTACTAAACCCTGTGTTTTCTTCCATATAAAACGGTGTAAAAACTATCCATCCCAAATAATAAATAGTATATCTTATTTTAGTAACGTAATTTATGATCCAAATCAACCACACATTCTCGATTTGAATGTGACTAGGATATAAAAAAAATGAGAAAATCCAATGTTGCCAATAGAGTTAACTAATAATTTTATCACTTAACTTACTCAGCGTAGTTATCTTGTACATATTTTAGGCTAACTTACAGGGCAGGGTATACAGGGCGATGGCATAATGGTTGTAACTGTCTAAAACTGGTTTTTTAGGATTAAACAGATCACCTATTAAATTACTAGGCAAGTTTTGCAACAATTCAGCTTTCAGCTATTTTCTTTCCGTATAATTTAAGCATTCTTTTAACCCACAATGGTTGAATATTGCAATAGTTCGAACAGTAACCGTAAACAATACCTTAACTTGTCATACTTAACAAACCGTAAAATCACGACGAGAATCGATTCATTTGTCTCTCAATAACTGCAGATTGGAGACATAGTTTCTCACTGATGATTACATTGAAGACGTCCACAGACAATAGCAGATCTGGCGAGACTCAATCCTCATCAAGTCTCTTCAGTGACGTCACGCAGTCTCGTGATATACAGTATAAGACGAGATGCTGCGAGAACCCTCGCCACTTTGTACAGGTAAGAGGTCGAATTACGAATATTAAAATTGAAATATCTATATATTCTTTTAGTGTAACAAACGTTTATTAATTTCGAACTTTAATTTGAAATTAATGTGGTTGAGTTCTTCGGGTTCTAAATATTACTGTGAACATCTATAAATACTATATAACAATGTCCAAACTAATAATAAATAACTTTTCAAAAAATGGGTAAATTAAAACAAAAACTTAATTTATTACAAATTTTAAATCGTATATTTTGATTAGTTACTATTGTAGTAGGATATTTAAATCATATAATTCATATATGATTATAAATATAGAGTTTGACGGCTAAAGTATATTATTAGTTTACTGTTACTTGTGTAATTTTTTATTTAGAAAAAACAACAAGTTATTTTTAACAGGGTTTTCACAGATTTAACACACGATCCACATATCTTTATAATCCTTATTGATCAGCCAAAAATATTGATTACCATTCTGTTCTTTTTATAAAAAAGGTATTTTATTGTTTACTGTTAGTCTCTTTATATCTTCTTTATTTATTTGTCATCCATTGGTTTTATTTCAACAACCAATCGAACTAAATTGTTAAGCATAACTTAAAGGAAATTTAATTCACCCAATTATAAGATTGTCATATATTCAGTTAAAATTTTAGTTAGATAACTTAAAACAAATAATATTAGACATCAAAACGCCTTATAGACCACGCAGAACCTAAAACTTTCTTCAACTGATCCATTCGGACGCATGAAGGAATATTTTTTATATATAATTTTACCACTATATGGCTTTTCTACTTCATATATCTACCGGCATGTTCATACATTGGCTATGGAGCTTACACTAACTCTCTGCCATAGCCAATAAAACTTCAGTAGCTTGCCAAGTTGAAGTGAAGCATCCGACTAGTTGAGCCAAAAGATTTTGCTTTACAAAGTTAACACGGAATAAAAAACTTGAAAGGGTGCCATATTTCATGGAACCTAAAATCTTGTATTCAATGTGTTTAGGTTGCAGTTTTTTTAAATAATCACCATCATCATCATTCTTTATTGATTTTTCCCTCAAGGGGTACATCAAAAAAATACATTTCCAATAATTTAAATAATCATTATGTCAACGTCGTGCAATAAAATTAAAACCTCGATTAAAAATGCTTCCTTACGTATTTATCTTTTGATCAGATTAAGTCGATTTTATGGCGTGTTTCTGTCCGGTTTTAGTAGATTAGGGTTTATATATAATATTTAAATTTGTTACTTATCTAGTGTTAAAACTATTTACATTTTTATTTTAATCATTATTAAAGGAATATTAAAGGAAAATATGACCAGGTAAATAGAAAAACCGCCTAGTCCGAAGCTTTGCTGTAGTCGGGGTATTTTTAAACTAACATTTTTTTTTAATTTCGACGTTTTAAAATAGAGAGAGGGTTAGTAAAATAAATTTTCCCTTAAGTCATATCTAAAGAAATTTTATTAAAAATGTTTTATAGACAAAACAGATTAAAAATTACAGGATCTAAAATTAACGATTTCAAGTATACTCAATGGATTACAAGATGTAGCCTATGTCCGGGCATTTACATAGAATATGATTACTTTTCAATACGGATAAAATCAATATCCAATGCGGAGTTATTTTACTACTGGCAAAACTAAGTAAGGCTGTAAACGTAAACACGAGTTTGGAAAACTCAAGATTCTCGTAGAAAGTTGGAGATAAGTTTGGTAAATCTCCCTTTAATCTCCGAGAACCATAATTTAGCCGGGCCTCGGTTGGAGCAGTTTAAATTTTTACTTTACTCGTTTCTTACTTGTTTAATTATTGTAATCTGCGATTATATAAATTTTTTTATTGGGATAATCATTGTGTTTTTAGTTGTAATTTAAAGCTATATTATTAAGCTAGCAGAGAGTATAAAATGCTTATTGCAAATATGGGAGAGGACACGGTTAAAGAAAATTTCGTTCTTTTCATTTACGGTATGCTTTAGTATAGCACATCTACCATAGCCATAATGTTCTACCACTGTCTCTAAATAAAAAAAACGAAATTCTCATTTACCACAGCTTTTTGTTGCTAGTTGGTTCAAATTAGGTGTTGTCATAAATGCAAAAAATAATAATAGTGCGGCACCCTGTTGGTAAACCTTATAACCTTTTAATTCCATTTAATATCATAGAACCGACTTGTGTAGTTGAAACAGCTGACAAAATTATTTTATTCCTTTTAAATATGAAACCTCAAAGGTTAACATGGGAAACTCCAGAGCCACTGGGGCGGAGCCCGAAAGGATTTTTGAGATAAGAATGCGTCTATATGTTAATTGGGAATGTGAGCTATCATCACACTAATTTTCTGCCCAATCCGACCAGTATTTTTCGCGTTTACTTGTCACAAAAATCGACCCATCCATCCATCTAAACATCCAAACTTTCTTACTTATAATATTAGTAGGATACTTACTTACTTTCCGTGTCCGGAAAAATCACCAGCTCAGTTAGATATTATTTTTCCAATAATCTGCCACATATATGGCTTTGTCATTTGCCTCCTTAAGATCGAGCCAGGAGCATGTTCTGTCCATATCTGGACAAACTAGTAGATGTTCATGGTCCTGAGGGGCCCCACATGTGCAGTTTGGTTCTCCTTCATAGTACCCCAACCTCATGAGGTTTACTTTGCACCTCGAGACCCCACTTCGCAATCTATTTAGGGTCCTCCATGTGGGGTAAGGCAGGTGACAGCCTGCAGGGAGTTCCTCTCTGAGTTCTACTGGTGGCTGTTGAGAATCCTGCCTCCATAGCTGAAGCCTTAATACTTCCGGTGTTACTGAATGTATCTCAGTGGTTTTGAGGAAACTCTTTCTTGACCGGAGTCTAGAGGGCTGCTGTTGATGCCCATATAGTGGATGACGGTGGTCGGTCACTTGCTTCTATCGTTCTACTGCGGCTGCCACGTTTCTCCTTATACAGTATATGGTGGAGCTACCCCAATGAGAGGGTATATACTGTCCACTGGGGTTGGTTTTAAGCATCCCGACACGACCCTTGCAGTTTCGTTGATGGCTATGTTTACCTTCTTTGCATGGGCAGAGTTTCTCCACACTGGTGCTGCATACTCTGCTGCTGAGAAGCTAAGAGCAAGAGCAGAAGTGCGTAGCACCTGTGGTTGTGCTCCCCAGGATGTGTTGGTAAGTTTCCGAAAGATATTATTTCGGGAGCACACTTTTTGCCTAGTAGCAAGGCAGTGTTGTTTAAAAGTCAATGCTCTGTCCAGCTTCACACCTAGATATTGAGGATAGTCATTATGTTCGAGTTCTTGCCCTCTCCACAGTACTCTTAACTTTCTTTTTGCCTCTCTGTTCCGTAGGTGGAAAGCGCATACCTGGGTTTTGGTTGGGTTAGGCTTAAGATGGTTCTCATCATAGTAGCTTCCTAGTTTTAAATTAGTAGGATAACAGCTGAATAAAAGTCGGTAGCTTTTATATGGATCGAAACTGGCCCAGCTGTTATTGACTATTGGGCTTTTGGTCGATGGTTCTGGTTAAATTAACAGCTGCTTTTAATTAGTAACATAGCTATATAGGAATTGCACTCATCTCCTATTTTTGTTATTTATTATCGCAAATTCTAAAACATCCGTTTAGTTTCATGACTCTTTTGTTGAAAGAAAGATAATTTTTAGAGGGTGGGTATGTGGAAGCCGTAATTTAAATGTTGTGTTTCTGTTTATCAGAAATTAAATTTTAATTTTGAAAAAGTCTAGCAGCCGACGCTAACATCTTAACTTTGTTTCAGTGAACTATAATGTTTGAAATGTGTATTTTAAGAAAACACTAATATCAATTAATTCAGAAACGAATTGAGTACAACAGTTTTATATGTCAAACAAGAAGACAAACTATAAACAAAACCAACAATAACCAAGCAGATGATAATATCATAAAAATCCAAAAATGTTAGAGCCAGACCAAAGGCAAAAATATTTAAATGTCAAGACAAACTATAAACAAAACCAACAATAACCAAGCAGATGATAATATCGTAAAAATCCAAAAATGTTAGAGCCAGACCAAAGGCAAAAATATTTAAACGTCAAAACATACTATGTCTTGGAGAATGACTAAAGGCAAATATATTTTCAATTAATAGAATACCATACGATGTAGTTTAACGAACAGCTGGCATGACTGAAGTCTCTTAAACAAACTGAAGATAAGCAGATGTTATGATTAACATCTGTTTATTATTACAACAAATACATATAATAATTATAACCTTGATATTTAATTGAGAAATTAATTGAGAAAAGGTAACCCATGATTAAACATATTTTTCTTGTGCATGTAGCCTGGACATTATGTGGGGTTTGGTGCATGTAGCTGCGCTGTTCTCAGCTCTAAGTTGCGTATCTGCCTTGGGAGATATACCTAAGTGCGATCCGGACATCACATCAAAAAGTGCGCAAGCTACGGGTATCATACCATCGGTGAGTATGGACATGAATGTTTAGATTAGGTTATCCCTTATTACTTTATGACTATTTTGTTGCTTGTCTTTTGATGCAACATTATAAACAGGACGGATATTTAAAAACCATTACAAGAAAAAATCTGCAGATTTTTTGAAATTATGCTATATTTAATACTCTACAGAAAAAAAAAACGAAAGAAAACCCAACTGTTTAGATTTATATGAGGCAGACTAATATCTTCGACTATTACTACAACTAGACATTCCATCCCCATATTAAATTTGTAACCAGATTTTTTTTTCAAAATCGTCGTAGTTGATGTGAGCCACCGACAGATTGCGCTGTAGTAAATTCTGTAGACACACAAACTTTTTTTACCAAGTCAAAGATAGGAAATAACTAATGGTGAGCTTAAGTAACTGTTATGACCCATCAACATGGTCAGCAACAAAAAATTAGGATAAGATAGAATTTTAGACACTAGCGCATTCTGTGACTGGTTCACAAAACTACGTTCTTTTTTATATAAAAATGGCGACAGCTGGTCCATATGGATGGGATGTCTACTTCAGTATCCAATACGGTAGTCAATGCTAATATAGTTTGAAATTACTGTAGTCAATATTACTTCTATATAATTACCCTCAAAGTAAACGTTTTTTACCTGTGAGTAAAAAAACCACCATTTGCTCAGTTGATGAATGACTTAGAAAAAATGAATATGTATTCTCATCTTTACTTTTTTCTTACGACAATTTTGATGAATGTCATATTGATTAAAAGTTTTCCACATATATGAAATCGGCTGTCTGTTATAGTTCCTGCAGTTACATATAAACATATTTAGTCCCCTACATCACGGCCACCTTCAACTCCAGGCTGCGGCGTTCGAAGTGGCAACACAAATTAATTAATTATAGTAGTGCTGTTTAACAATATGAATAACACGTGGTTAAACGAAAGGGCACCACCTGTCTACCATATTAGCTTATGGGACAACTGGCCCTAAACAGCACCACTTGCGACGTTGCCAGTATTACCAGGCCACGATCTGGACTGGAGTTAAAGGTGGCCGTGCCTACATGTGACAGCAGATATCATTTCTTCTTACTCTCTTCTTCTCTGATTCCCTCGAATACTTTCTCTCCTGTATTATGCTAACCTATCTCTAGTGAGTATTAGGGATCCTAATTGTTGAGATGAGATATTTCTATCCGATTTTTTCAGATCCAAAAGAACGGCCAATACTCGTACGTGGTCGTATCCACGGACGAGGCAACTTTCATGGGAAAAGACGTGAAATGTATTGGAATAAACATGGCTGACAGTTCTACAGCCCAAGTGTCATACAAGCTGACAAACATCTTGTTTGGATTCGCCAGGTAAATAATTGTTTTTGATATAATAATATTTCAACCAAAATACTTGTCATTATAAACATAGATAGTTTGGAAATATTTTAGCAAAGTTTCGCAATCATATTTGGATCTCTGCATTTACAAAGTGGTAATTTCTTGATAGAACTTTCTATAAAGTCTTAACTGATGTTTTTGTAGATGAAAGATTAAATGAAAGGGATATAAGTTCCCTAAATTATATGTATAAAATTATAAAAACTATCTGTTACATGAAACAAAAACAAAATATAGTTTAATTTGGTTCGCACAGTTACTTTTTTATGTAGTTGACTTTATAATGACTTACTTATGTTTTACTGTATTGTCAATCAATGGACTTAATAGGATTCACTTTTTTACAGCGTGCCAGTATTTAAAATGAAGTTTCCTGTAAAAGAAGATAACGGAGTCCTTATACAAGGTGAGTATATTATATAAACAAAAAATGAACAATAATACATTCGATTTGCAAGTACTGTATCTGAATGGAATCCCCTTGTAAAATTATTCAGAACTCAATCAATTGCTTTAGGGCTTTCGTATATTTGAGCCATTTTCAAAATGGTTAGATTGCACTTAGTACAGTATAATCAAATTTATAATCGTAGATGTTTGTTATGTTTGAAAATGTCTTTGAAGAAAATATCTGGATACAGCATATCATCATAATTTTGTGTGTCTATCGTTGTTCGTAGGGTGAGCAAGCTGTTGCAATATTAAATTATTTGTTTGATTATCAAACAAATTAACGGTCTATTGTTTTTACTTTTACGTAGGACGTAGATTGCTTGAACACATAGTAAACATGAAGGATAAAGTTTTTCCCTCGATACACTTCGGGGAAAACTTTTAAGAAACTTAATTGAATTGCACCACCAACAAAGTGTGTTGCTTTAAAGGCGGGTTTCTTTCTTACACGCTAACTTTTCAACCGTCAAACAGAAAGGGTAACTAATTGTAAAAATATATATGTAACAACAATTGTATTACCTATAATTGTGTGAAAACTAAAAGTGAACTTATGTTAGTACAATCTGTAAAAGACTTGTCCAACGAAATTCTTTTATAGAACAAAACTAGCTATGTCTACTTCAATATCGAAAGTCAGTGCAAGTAGGAACTGTTTCTAAGTACTAATATGAAACATACTCTTGTGTTGCTTAGTCTATGGTACTAACATCTGGTTTCTATACAGAAAATGGCAAGGAGTACAAACTGTACGTAATGTACATGAGTGATGATGGAGTCATCTTCACCTACCGTTGCTGTGATACTTGTGAGTAAGACTTCGCTGATTTAGAATACCTTGTTTATTTCGGATAGTATATTTCATGATAGTATGCATAGAGAAATGAGGTAAACACGCTTTTGAAACCGTACGATTTCAGCTCAGAATTTGTGCCTGAAATTTACTACTTGAGACAAGCAAGGAGCAGCCCGAATGGCGAGCACTGTGAAGAAATGCATATCTCACATGGTTTTCCACCCATCGAGTTATATACTTCGATTTTTCCACCACGCTAGCGTTGTAGTACACGAGGGTGAGGGTGTGGTGTTGGACTTCACCCTAGACACCACCACCAGCAACTGTGCTAGACAACACTTAACTGTACCATGTTTCCTCTGTACCTTACTTCTCTGAGTATTATCTATTTATTAGTAGTTTTTGTAAAATAGAATTTAAATGAATGCTAATGATGTTGAATCAACAACTAATTGCCAAAAAACCACAGTAGAAAGTTTGTTTTTTCTTCTTAGGCCTTAATAACGGTCACATTTCGTTAAAGACTTCAATTTTTAGCTGCCTTTAAAAAAATATAGATATACCGTTTTAGGGGAAGATAACTACCTCAGATGGAGGTGTTCCTCCCCGACAACTCATAAGATGATTTTACTAACCGATATTTTCCTCAGGCACCGGCACAGAGCCTAACGTAGGCATCGCAGTGGCTGACACCCTGAAGACCTCAGCTGCCACTCTAACAGCCTTCAACGCCGCCAAGGACAAGATGAAGGAGCTGAAGTTGGACTCGGCTGTCTCTGAGTTGTCTCACTGTACTTGAGTAATTTGGAAATAAAGATCAAATCCTACTTGTAAAATGGCTTTGTTTTTATAAAGTTGTTTTCTATGGATAATAATATTTCAATTTACTCTATTTTCACTGCCAGCTGTCAAAATTCTATGTGTCTGTGATCTAAGTATAAATGGTGATAATTAGTTATCTTCCAAGGCATCAATGTCGTGGGTTCGGATCCTGGTAAATGCTACTGCATTTTATCAGAACATCCCCTTGCTTTGCTGGATACGTACCACGCACAGGTCCGTAGCTCATGTGGACAGGTAAATGCAAGGTAAAAGAGACCGCTAACCTCATAAAGAAATAAAACGCTAATGTTTTAACCAAAGCATCTAGCTATGACTATTCATATATTCAGTACCATATATGAAGTATTCCCTTACAAAGTGGTAATCGTTGTCATGTTTGAAACAAAATAAAAACAACTACCAGAATATTTTTTGATGTAAAATATATTTTTCTCTCTCATACAGCAATCCAAAATTAAAATGCAAATTATTTTACACCATAACCCAGTTAGTCTTCATTAATTACCAAAGTATTAATAGCCAAGAGGAAACATATCATTGATAGTACTGTATCGCCTTTAAGGCAGGATCATAAAAATACGTCATCACAGAGATAAAACTATCTACAGATACTTATAAGGTGGATATTAGCTAAAGTATTCAAAATAGTGGTACTGTGGCAAACATTTTGTGTTTGTTATAGTTTATAAATTTATATTTTAGTATTGAAAAATATAGAGAATACAATCTCAAGTTTAACTAAATTGACTAGTCCTAATTATGATGTAACGATTACCATACTAGAGTAGTATGGAAATTTATTTCAATTTCGATTTGATTTCTGGTGCTTTAAATACCTGTATATACAATTAACTTAAATACATTAATGATGATCAATATAAATATCCGCCGTTCTGTGAAAGAATTTGAATGTACAGTTGAAAATCATCTTAATTTTCTTGCCACTATTTTTTAAAATCCAACTGTCTAATTATTTAAGAAAATTGTTCACTTAGATTTAATTCATGTGGTAGATTTTGTCAATGCATTCGAAAAATAATAAGGTATTATACTTACTAACGCATAAAAACAATTCAATGTACAAACAGTTTACAGGATGGATCTAAAATTCGCCATTGTTTGGTATAAATGATCTGATCCTTTTATGTACAAATCTTATCAACAAATGTTAATAACATTTTTGAAATTATGACTTTGGTAAAAATTTACCAGGAAGCACAAAAAATACGTTAAATAACCCTTGTAATAATATATTTACACTTATACTGTTTACTCACAAGATGGTAAATAAACAAGATGATAAGTGGTGATCGATTTCGATTGGACATTCCAATGGTCGTTACCATCTTTAATATGAACGAGACTGTCTTGTGAGTAAACAGAACAAGTGTAAATAAACTATTACAAGTGTTATTTGACTATTTTATGTGCCTTCAAGTAAATCAATAACACGTACGATGCTGATAAAGAAGTTATTTAGTACAATTTACTGAAGCTATAAGGTGACTAATTAGTAAAACAGCCGAGAGGGTATCGCAGCGTAAGGGTTTAAGAGTCTTTGGAAGCTAGCGATCATCTTGGATAATTTCAAACAGCTGCTGATAAATGTATGGAGAGTTATTTGTTATCCAAAAATATTTGTCCAAACATTGAAGTGGTTATCCTACTTCCTACTAATATTATAAATGAGAAAGTTTGGATGTTTGTGACAAGTGAACGCGAAAAATACTGGTCGGATTGGGCTGAAATTTGGCATGATGATAGCTCACATTCCCGATTAACATATAGGCATATTCTTATTTCAAAAATCCTTTCAGGCTCCGCCCCAGTGGCTCTGGAGTTTCCCATGTTAACCTTATGAGAAATGGAATTATTGAATCTTAACAGCTGTTTCAATTAAATAAGTTGGTTCTGTTCTATGATGTTCAATAGCATTAAAGTTACAAGGATTACCAACAGGATGCAGCACTATTATTTCTTTTGCATTTATGACAACAGCTAATTTGCAACCAAAAGGTGGGTGAGCGTAGCGAACGAACTTCAACCTGGAGGCGAGTTAGCGTAGCGAACGAGCTAACCTGAAGGCAAGTGAGCGCAGCGAACGAGCTCCAACCTAAAGGCGAGTGAGCGTAGCGAACGAGCTCCAAACTAAAGGTGAGTGAGCGTAGCGAACAAACTTCAACCAGGACGTGATTGAGCCATGCGAACGAGATAATCTTGAAAATTAAGAAGTTAAACGGGGCAAAGCCCGCGGGTTACAGCTAGTAATTTATATATCTAGGTCACTGTGAGATTATAAATGTTCGATGGAGTTTTCAATTGTTTTTCAAGGAAGTCCATGGAAATCAACCAACGGCCATCTTGTATCTACCCGCCATAAGAGCAATGTAAATTTCAAACAGCCGCTAAGAGAGTTACTTATCACCTCGAAATATATTTTTGAATACCAAAGTGATTGTAATTTAAATATCTAGGGCACTGTGGAATTAGAACATTTCTTTGTAGTTTTTTATATTCTTTTATGAGTCAGAACGTGTAAGCTCCAAGGAATCTTAAGGCCTGGGCCAGTCCTTACATACAGCATCGATCATACATACAATGGAAATTAAAAATTCGAATACTTTTAATAGAAACGTTTTTAAAGTGGCGTTTTTTTTTTATTCGAAGACTAATTACTGTGCAATACATAATAATCTTCTTACATTGTTGAAAATGTCATTTGCGTGTATAACTAAGTATAATATTAACAAGAATATAATGGTCGCAAATTTAAGTTGTCCAGTCTTTTAACAAAATACTACAAACAACGGATTGTTGAAACATCCAATTTATTGAGTGTTCGTGGCGTTGTAGCTGGTTGACTAAAACGCTTCCACTAAAAGCAATTGACATTTATAGTCAACTAATTTGCGGTTACCACTGATAGGTGCTTCATGCCAACCATACGATGAGGTCTGTTGAGTAGAAAATTTACACGATTACTTTAAACCTGTAAATTACTATTTTTAGTCTCCTTTATTCGGAATGAAACTGAAATTAAATTTAAATTAAAATGCTTCTTTATTGAGGGGAACTTGGGACCTCATGGACCATGGTCCTTTCTTACAGTTAACCTAAAAAAACAAAAAAAAAAACTAAAATGAAAACTATAGGTTACATAGTCAATGCACCTTCAAAATAAATAAAAAATAGGTTTGCAAAATAATAGGTTAGGCAAAATAGGTTTGCTTGGTCAATGGACCTTGAAAGTCTGTTCCTAAATCTTTGAAGCTTTCACCATAGTTCACGTACTGGCAATGTTGTGCTTCTGGGACAGGCTTATCCGTCTCTATAAAAAGATTATTTGTCGTATCTTTATGAGTTGTGTGTTTGATGTATGTTTGTATTTTAAAAACCAACGAACATAATCAAGCTGATTAAATGCATTTATTAAATATGCTGGACTGAAAGTGTCTGACAATGGGATCTCGCCAAAACATGTAACCCTACCTATTGTTACTTTTGGAACTACATGGCAGGTAATAAAACACAATTAGAATACACTTCATCAATGTTACCATCACGTTACTAAGATGCATCATATTAGATTTAAATTGATTTATATGAAGAAACATCTTCATATTATGAAAAATCAATGTCAAGTTATTTATTTGATTTCTACATAATGCTATGTTGGATTCTTTTGCATCTATTGACTTGAAATATAAGTTTAGTTTCAAAGGTAAGTGGGACTGCAATCCACCTAATATTACAAAAAGTGGTACTATGGATGTTTGTATGTAGCTCTGAAGTTCCATCACGTGAAAAATACTTGACCGATTGAGCTGACATTTTGCAGATAGGTATTTGATAGTCTTGAGAAACACATAGGCATATTCATTTGTAATATTGTGTGAATGTTTGATAATTTATTTTTTTCTATATTTTAGGTGCAGTGGTAGAATATTATGCTATGGTAAATGTGTAAAGGAGTTATCCATGATTGGATAGCGTAAATTTAAAGAACCAAATTTTCTCAAACCGTGTCCTCTCCCATTGCAAATGAAGAGCACAATTATAACTGTAATAATGAATGTTATAACTGCATGTAAGAATGTTATACTTATACGCAAACCCCGTACGAAGGACGGGTACTCGGCTAGTTTAAAATAAATGAATATGTTTAAATTAACCGTCGCTATGTTGACTGGGAAATTTAAACTCGTTACCTGAATTTCATTAACAAAATTGTATAACTAAGTGACAAAATGTAGTTTGTCTCTTCATTTCGGACATGGATGTATAACTATTTTTATATAGCTGATCTAAATACTCGTAATGTCCTCTTTCGCGTTCTCTTTTCGTTCCGTAGCACGGAAATAACAAATATCCAATTAAATTGTACAGGTGGTTAAATTTACTATAAGATGATTTTAGTTTATCTTAGATAAAAATAAGTGTATTTCACAGAAATCTGTAAAAATCATCAGTACATTCTGTCGGTGTTTTAATCATCGACAATAGTTTTTTTCACCACAATATGATGTTTTTAAGCAGTTTTACATATGTTAATTAGTGGCTGAAAGTTAAGTTTTCCTGGCCATGCCAGCTGTCATCGTCATTTAGGGACCGAGCATGTTTTTACATCCCTAGAGCCGCAAAATCAGCTGCCCGCTTACTTTCTTAAAACATGAATGCATATTAAATACACAATCAGTATCCATAGCATTGCAATAGGATTGTTTTATTGACACCATTGCCTAGCAACTATTTATTTTTATTTTTGCTGATTCCTCAAATTATTTCTTCACATAACCTTAAAGTTGTAGTTGTGTTGACTATCAGTGTGCATTATTATTGTGGTGAATAGTGGTAACGGGGTATAGTGAGGTGGTGGACCGAAATGGTATTGCAGGCTCGAGGGTTCGAGACAAAGTCGAGCACTTAAAACGATAGGCCCTCATTTTCGGCCCTAGGTACGAAATTTACTATTACAAATACCGTTTATAAATGG